GTTTACATAACTTGATATTCCAAACCTAGGCCATCTCTCACTACTTTCACTTAATTTCTACCAGAGACTAACAGCCTTGCAAAATTCTACACACCCCGGGAATGCAATTTATTTTTATGGCTGAATAAAATATTGTCAGTTATTATATTACCTGCCTTTTACTAGATGATTGGTGGTAGGCAGACTTTGTGCCTCAACTGATACCTATTTATGATTTTGAAAGTTTATTCTGTCCTATTACATGGCCAGTTTATTCTATTAACTACAATAATAGTGTAACTTTTCCACTTGATTACTAAGTTCAAGTTTTCAGAAGTGACATCTGATTTCACAAACACACAAATTCTAAATGCATAAAGCCTGCATTTTCATGTGCAAATGGATATTTGTCCATACGGAGTCAAGTGCAATTACCTGATCTACACACGTAAGTGCCAAACTGCAGACCCAAGTATTGTGCGAATGGGTAACTTGTACATCGAGCTCCTAAATTGAGAGCTTGTACTCACATAAATCAAGCACATCCATGTTTACAGGACTGAGGACCTATTGTGCATATGCGCAATACTTTATTGTATTAAATATCTGAACGTATATAGACTTATTTTAAAGTATTTAAACTATCAGCTCTCCAGAGCAGGAACTCTACACTATCCACTTAGCAAAGTGTGTGAGCTCTTTTGGTAGGTGCCATGTATTTCTGATCCAAGCAGGGACTTGCAGCCCACAATGCCTCTTGCTAGATTGTGTTGAGAGCACATACTGTATATTACCACCTATAACTGAGATACAGGGAACAGAAGATTAATGTTCAAATGAGTTTTTCTTCTCTAGCCTGCATGCAAAAAAAAAAAAAAAAACCCTGATAGAAGTGTTGGTCGGTACTTTGAATATTCTGAAACAGTTTCAGTCTTTGCCCAGACATCTTGGTGACCTGAGGCATGAATGATTCAAGCTCCATCACAATGGGACAGAGGAATAATTGTACTTCAGGATAACCAAAAATTATATGTACTAGCATTAGCATTATGTGTACTATTACATATATAATGGGTGGAAAGTAGAGATGATATCACTCCCACCCCAAAAATTAAGCTAGTTAAACAACTAGATTCTAAAAGCAACGCTGCTAAAGGCTGATTGACCTAAAGCTTCACCTGCATTGGCAATGGTTCCGTATTAAATACATTAAGGATTCCATGTAAATATTATTTAAACTAGGGCTGTTGATTAATCAGTTAACTCACGCAATTAACTCAACAAAATTAATCCTGATTAAAAAAAATGAATTGTGATTAATTGCACTGTTAAACAATAGAATAGCAATTGAAATTTATTTAAAATGTTTGGATGTTTTTCTGTGTTCAAATACTGTATATTGATTTCTATTACAACATAGAATGCAAAGTGTACAATCTCACTTTATATTATTACAAATATTTGCACTGTATAAATGATAAACAAAAGAAATAGTATTTTTCAATTCACTTCATACAAGTACTGTAGTGCAATCTCTTTATCATGAAAATGTAACTTACAAATGTAGATTTTTTTTTGTTACAGAACTGCACTCAAAAACAAAACAATTCCAGAGGATATGCGTCCATGCTGATGACAGGTTCTGCTCAATAACAATCCAAAGCAGTGCGGACTGACACATGTTCATTTTCATTATCTGAGTCAGAAGCCACCAGCCAAAGGTTGATTTTCTTTTTTGATGCTTCAGGTTCTGTAGTTTCTGTATCGGAGTGTTGCTCTTTTAAGACTTCTGAAAGCATGCTCCATACCTCGTCCCTCTCAGATTTTGTATGCAACTTCATATTGTTAAACCTTGGGTCGAGTGCTGTAGCTATTTTTAGAAATCTCACATTTGTACCTTCTTTGCGTTTTATCAAATCTGCTGTGAAAGTGTTCTTAAAAAGAACATGTGCTGGGTCATCATCTAAGACTGCTATATCATGAAATATATGGCAGAATGCAGGTAAAACAGAACAGGAGACATACAATTCTCCCCCAAGGAGCTCAATCACAAATTTAATTAATGCGTTTTTTTTTAATGAGCATTATCAGCATGGAAGCATGTCCTCTGGAATGGTGGCCAAAGCATGAAGGGGCATACAAATGTTAGTATATCAAGCATGCAAATACCTTGCAATTCCAGCTACAAATGTTTTATGTGAACACCTGTTCTTACTTTCAGGTAACATTGTAAACAAGAAGCGGGCAGCATTATCTCCTGCAAATTGTAACCATACTTGTTTGTCTGAGTGATTGGTTGAACAAGGAGGACTGAATGGACTTGTGGGCTCCAAAGTTTTACATTATTTTATTTTTGAATGCAGTTATTTTTTGTAAATAATTCTACATTTGTAAGTTCAACTTTCATGATGAAGAGACTGCACTACTGTACTTGTATTAGTTGAATTGAAAAATACTATTTTCTTTTGTTTTTTACAATGCAAATATTTTTAACCAAAAATATAAAGTGAGCGCTGTACACTTCATATTCTGTGTTGTAATTGAAATCAATATATTTGAAAATGTAGAAAACATCCAAAATATTAAATAAATGTATTTTATTGTTTAACAGCACAGATTAATCACAATTATTTAATTGTGCAATTAATATGATTAATTTTTTAATCGCTTGACAGCCCTAATTTAAACATATCATGGCTCCATCTCAAAATATAATAAGAAAACTCCCAAACTTCTGATGAAAGTTTTTTGTAATTCTCCATTAACAAGCCAGTAAAAAATTTCTTCCAGTTAGAGTGTGCATGCACTGATTTGTTGCAAACAGTATCTTATCTGGATGCTACAATCTTTGGATTTTGTAATGAAGGCGTGTCGCATCTCTAAAGCGAGCAGACATTTTCTGGTTTTCAATACAAACTTGATGCTCAGCCAGATCCATCAAGAGTGTGGTAAGATTCACTCAGAAGATGAGTGAATCTGGCCTTTTTTCTTAGCAAACTTGGATGAAAACCACATGACTCTGTGGTTTCAACCTAAACAGCAGCTTCATCTGAATTTCTCCTTTATTTTTGTGTGTTTATTTGAAGCTGAAAGCAAAACCCATAGTTTGTGACCCATATGGATATAAGCCAAAGAAAGTTTAGTCCAGGAGAAAGCCTACAAACTCAACCGTCTGAACTTTGCATAGTTCTAACTGTCTGTTCATAGTTTAAGAGCTCTTTTTTGGACTGGAGGAATTCAGACTAGTATATAAGAGGCGTTACAATGTAAACTGGCTCCCTACTAAATGAAGATGAAGACTGGTGTGCTTATTAACATGGACACAGAATGGCCTGCTCATGATGAAGATCACAAACCTAGCCTGCAACCCACAAACTTGGAAACCAACACCACTCATTCTTCCTCTATCCCCACCCTTCCTGACCAGAAGTAGAGCCCCACATTCATTCAAGAACCTTACTCTCATTAAATATCCATGCATCGGCAACATCAGTATCTAAGTTGCCCCACTTCTGACCTGAATTGTAGTACCCACCCAGCATACGGTTTCCCTATTTGAAAAACCCCGTTGGGTAAGCAGATTACGATGCTATGCTAAAGACCACTGGGCACTGTTTTTCTTCTCTCACCCACTCCCACCCTCAAACAGAAACAAATTGTCTCAACTGCTTGCTTTTTCAGGCCCAGCCCATATTCCTTGCAGCAGCTTTCACCAACAATACTGAGGCCATCCTATCACATTGCTAATTTTATTATTGCTATATTAAACACGTTAGCATAACGCACTGGCTGGCATGTGTTTGTGTACCCCTTTATGCTTCATCTATAGAAGATAAGAGTCTGTTACAGCTCCTAGCTACAGAATCTGGCTTTTTAGCTCAAGCTGGGAAGACTCAGGTCCTCTCTTCTTGAGTGGAGCTTACGTGATTCCCCAGGACATGGAATACACACACAGACCATTGGCTTACACCAAATCACAGAGGATGTGAAGGTTCCCCATCTTGAACAGCTGGTATGATCCTCAAGGAAAACCACAGGAGATGTAATGAAACACAGATCAGACAACTCATCTTGGAGACATTGCAGGCTGTACTTGTAGCTGTTGTCAAAGCTGCTAGGATGCAGTTTGCAAACCTTTCTGGTATGGTCAGCTGGGGGTGAGCTTTGCTGAGTAGCAAACATATTTAAGGTAAAAAAAAAAGTTCTCATGTTTTTATAAACACTGGCTCATTTTCAAAAGAAATGTGGTTACTTATAAAATTAAAACATGCATAGCAAATAAAAATCTGGTTTGTGATCATTTTATACATCTCAAAATTAAGTACCAGTAGGTTTTCACCCTACTGGCATATAATTAAAATAAAGCCCAACGGATCAATTTTAAAAGAGACACACAATCAAGATCAAAATGATATATTCAGAAACCTTCCTTTCCTGCATTACTAATGATACCCAGAAGGATTAGTAAAACTACAAGAACTTTTAAAATCTTATTTGCCTTTCACCATTCATGCTGCTTATTTATTTTCTGCACTTCGCTCAGCTCAGATGGTCAGTTTTACTGTCAATTTCACTCTCTTTTCCTAGTGGTACCAGACAAAAATATTTAAATCCTGCTGCAGCAAGCCAAGGAACATAGGATTTATGTCCAAAAAATCCCACTAAGCACTCCTCATACTGAGGTGTATTTAGTCACCTCAGAGTAAAAAAAGATACATAAGGCAAAAATGATAAACAATGGCATATGTCTATAGTTATATCAAGTCCATAACACTGCATGGTTTTTATGTTACTACTCTACTGCTTTCACACCGCCTCCAAAACTATATTTCCATTACATTCCAGTGCAACAGTAATAAAGATTTTAAACGACAGACTTATAAGGCAGCTCTGTACTCATATTGACTAAAAATGACAAAAAAAGACAGCATTTAAAATGACAGCTTTAACAGCATACATGTTGGCATTAAGTAGTTTTCAAAAGAGTGCGTTGTATTTTTAAAGAATCCATTGCAACTCACCACAGCTTGTGCTATGTCTCATCTATAGGAAATGATTGAGAGGGGTCAACTTCATGCCTGAATTCCCATAGCTGAATTTGGCCTGCTGCTGGTACCAATTTCTAATGCTAGCCCTAAACACAGAAAAAACAAAGAGAAAGAAACATTGTATTTTACCTTTTAAACGTAAGTTTTTAATTGACCCACATACACAAGAAATGAAGACTAAAATATAAAAGGAAGGAAAATCCTCATTAAATTAAAATTCCAACATTAACCCACCATTTTGTGTGTATGATTTAAGATTCTTTTGTAATATAATCACCCCAGTGAGGGGATTTCTAAGCAAACAAAATAGGTTGCTCATGTATTTGTCACATGATATGGAAGGCTGCTCCAGTCCAATATCAATGAACCCATTAAAGCTTAGGCAAAGTTTTCTTACCATTCATTCAAAACACAAAGTGCAAGCAGCTCAAAAGAAGATTGTACTGAGACTGCATAATAAGAATAGCATATTAAGAATCCTTATGAGAAGAGGTTACTCCTTAATCACGGGGGCAAGCTTTTTAAACCATCTTAAGGTATTGGGCCAAACTTGATACTGACTCACATCCTATGCAATCCTACTGTAGTCAATGTTTAATTCAGTATTTGGCTCCTTAGGGTGAGATCCTGGCCTCTTTTGAAACCAGAGGTGAATTTGCCATTGATTTCAAGGGGGCCAGGATTTCACCCTTGGGGGGGCGGGGTCGTTTTTACTATTTGGCTATATGCCAAAAGCCAGTCTGTGTTCTAGTGTATCCATTTTACACCCTGAAAGTGGTGCAAAGCAGCCCCAAAGACAACATGTCCTGCCCTCTCAGAATCATGCCAGTGCAGAGCCATTCCGAACCTATCCCACCTCCCGGCGTGGTCAGCGGGATTGTCAGCTCAGAAGCCAATGGCCTTTGCGGGAGCTGTGCTGGGCACTCCATAGTAAGAGCTGAGAAGCTGGTCAGCCCCCACCCCCATTGTGCAAAAGAAAGAGAAAAGCATCAGAACCTACTGAACGGATCTGATTTCTTTTTTCTGCTCCCATTACTTTAAAAAATACCAAAGGGCTTGTTCTTAAAGCTTGCTAACAATAATAATGGTGATGTTCTTAAGCTAAGACTTGTGTATATTAAGTAACCAACCCAAGTAAAATTGTATTGCCGTCCTATAAACTTCTGAAACTAGAAGATTCAGTACTATTAAAATTACATATTTCCCCTCCCCTTCACAATATCACCTTTCATTTGTACTTCAATAATCACTCTCAGTACAGAGCACAGGAATACGACCCTAACATCTAATATTCCACAGTAATGAAGGTGAAGTTGTATTTTGCTTTCAGTTACTAATAAACAAGGTTTCTACATTACAGTTGACTATGTTATGCTAAAAGATTCTTTTTCCCCCAAGTCTCTGTCCCCAAGGTATGGGTACTATAGTAAGGGGAAGGGGGGGAGCAGTTTGCAGCAGATACAGCATAGTTTTGGATTAGTGCCAAATCTACCCACCATATGGGGGAGGAGGTATTTTTCTTGCAGGGTAGCACTGAGCTTCAGAGAACCTGTAGCAAGGGAAGCAGAGAATGGATAGAAGCAGGAAACCAATTTGTATTTGTTTGTTATTCTGGTTCAGCGAAATCTTTTTTCCCTTCCTGTTTGTTACCTCAATGAAAAAATAAAGCAGCATGAACGATAGCAAAGCAATGATTAGATTTTTTTAAAGTCATAATTTCTACTAGGGCTACTATGAACTAAAAATGTGACCTGGATAATGGGAGGTTTAAGTGGTTTGGAGCGCTCTCCACACTGAACAGCACATCAAAGCCTTGCTTTGCATTTAGTGCCCACCAGAATGATGTTTATAGTTTTTGCTATTCAGGAACAATCTGAAGAATGGTGTTCATTTGCACTGCATTGTAGCTTAAATTTACGTTTTAAAGCTAGGATTTCTTTCTTAATTCTATATTTTAAAATAATTGGATTTTTTTTTAATAGTGTATGCGTAATAGAGGTATCTGATTCTTTTGAGGCCTGCTTTTGCTCCCACTGAGGTTAAGGAGAGTTTTGCAACACAATGCAAAGCAGGACTGGGCCCTATAATATTCCAAAAGGATAGCACAATTTGGTAGATCTCCCATTGTAATATCAAATGTATCTTTCAAAAATCAACACTTGAACTATATCGTGCCTTGCAATTATTGAACGGTACTATGAAATCATTAAGTAATGGCTGCAGACATGCCAGACACTGACAGCAAACAACATATTCATCCCTGCTGGGATCTGCTCATAAACCGACCCTTCCAGCACATACACACTTCTCTCAACAACAAGAGAAACGTTCTCTAATATCAAGCAAGCAGAGTCAGCTGAAGGCAGCTAATATTTCATGTTAAGTGCTTTTTACCCTTATCCCCTTCAGAAATGTTTCTGGAATCATAAAGCTCCTCATCAGTAACATAAAGCTCCAAATTATCCTGCTGCTGTTTCTAGGCATGTGTATATTGGTGCATGTGTATGAATAGGAGAGAGAGGGAGAGAAAATATACAGTTTCATGGCTTTCTGAGGTCCAGCCACCTCTGTGATTCACGTTTGTGTTCCCAATGGAGAAAAATCAATTGCTCCAGCCAACAAAAACAGGTATTTTTATGCCACTTTGGGGTCTAGAAAGAGTACCCAGCAGGCAGAAGGAAAACCAGGGAAAAGAGGGTACTTTACTCCAGCATATACTATGCAGTCACCGACAATGACATGTTTTGAATTAGGGTCAGAGGATCACAGTGTTTATACATCTCCTTATGTCCAGGTAATCTGAATCAAATGCGTTTGCATATGGCGGAACATAACACAAACAATTCCAGTATATTGTACATGCATGCTCTCACTCCTCCACTCCCCCCCCTTTTTTTTAAATAAATTGGCCATGCATGACAAAATATCTATGCCCTGCAGCCAGCTCATTTCAGAGAGGATCCTGACAGTGCATATTATGTTATTTAATATTTCCCCATAAACACTCTCCCTCTGTGTCTTCATTTCCTTTGGTAAAATCTGTATTTATATTTTGGCTTGGTTCATCTTTCACCAGGTCTCTTGCAAAAGTCACACTGAACAAATCACAGAAGGGGAAGGCTGCATTGAGGATATGGTGAGGCTATGCAGTAAAAAGGAGCCCATGTAAACAAGCTAACAATCACTCAGGGAACAAGCCCATTCAGATTATCCGGGGGCACAGTTTGCTTATTAGGCATGGCTGTGGCATTTCACTCTCCAAGGGAAATGCATATTATTTTGTAATAAGCCCCCCTTTGCAAAAGAAAAAAGCAAAATAGTTAATTCTGTTGCAATTGCAGTGCTGCCAGAACTGTGTGAGGCTTTTTCCATGAAGCTACATTGATTTCACTGCAGTCTAAGAAACTGTTGGATTCTCCTCTGTAGCATACCCCTGGGCAATTATTTTGCACATCATTTTCCTAAGGCCTTTTGGTGTCTCTATAAAATGCAGCAGTTTTTGTTTGATTACATGTGGAAGTCATGCAATGGAGTGAAGCCTACCTTAAGAGACCACTTCCTTCAAGACATCCCTCCATCTGCCTATAATTTCCATCAACTACCGCACACATCCCAACACCACAGTTTTTCGGACACACTCACTCTCCACCCCCTCCCCCCAAATCTTTTTTTTTTAATTAAACATTTTACCCCTATGCAAAAGGCCAGTGCTTTTAGCTTCTGGATCACAAAAGGTGTTTACTAATAGCAATTCCTTTTTTAAAATGACTACATAGTTATTATTTTATATAGCTCTAGACAGATACACACCCAAACAAAATGTTTTCTTTGCTGAATTAAAAGCCAAGAGTTATCTCCCAAAGAAAGCCCCAGCAGTTTCAGAGGTAAGGAGGCTGAGTACAGCACTACTGTTTACATGCACCAGCTGTTAAATCACTATCACCCCATCCATGCTGTGCCTCTGTACTGCTCCTAAAACCACCGGTCACCTAAACAGCCCAAATAGAAATGTTCATACACACCCAAATACAGGAAAATGATGGTCCTCCGGCCACAAACTCTGTAACACTGCTGCCTTCTTGCATCGGTTAGCCGTTTACTTCATTAACCTGGCTCTCTCTCTCATTTTTTTTTTAAATCAACAATCAATATTCATCACCCCACCCTGCAAAGGCAGGTTAGTCGTAGAATATTAGCATCAACCACCTACCATTCCGTGCCTGCGAACTATGCTCCCGGTACAGCAACCCTTCCCTCAAACTGCAACCTTACGTGGTATTTTTAACCACATTCCAAACTGAGGAAGAGATGGGGTATTAAAAAAATAATAATTATAATGATGGGCAGGTGACTTCAAGGCAAACCAATTTTTAAAAAAGTGTACTAAATAAAATCCCTGGGGAAAAAAATAAAGCAGAGGGGGGAAAGGGAGGGTAAACATATGATAATATTGAAATAAAAGGGGAAGAAAGAGTGGCTTGCTGAATCACCCTCTTTCACTGCCTGGAAACCATTGTGCAGCGTGATGCTGGCTGTACCATTGTGGAACCTACCAGAGGAGACAGGCAGAGGGCTTGGGGAATGGGGCTGCTATGGCAACTGAAAGGAGCACACGTGACGTCAAAGCTCAGAGGTCTCGAGGGTGGGGGCGAGAGAAAAGAGAGAAGAGAAAAAAGTCTAATCTGCTGCTACAGCTACTGTATCTCCCAGTGAATCAGGGGCTAGAGCAGACTGCAAAGGGACGCTGAATAGCTGTTACCAGCATCATCAGCACTGGCATCTGCAACATCAGGGAGCTAGTCTGTATAAAGAGCAGGTAATAACCGAAAGGATTCACTTCATGCAGCTCTGACCTCTTGTTTGCACTGGCTGCTGCGCACACAGGGATCAACGCAGGGAACCCCAAAACCACACCTTTTGTGATCCAGTCCAGCTTTGTACTCAAATAGCTACACTACAACAAACAGCCGGGAGTTACTTCCTTCTCTATACCATCCCTTATAGCTATTTGAAATACGCATGGGCAAGTAATGCATCTATGAGGATAGAGCCCCTAGAGCAGGACCATGGATTTGTTCTTTGTTACCAGCATGCTGTGCCCTTTAGCTGGATACTCAGGATGCCACTATTGTGTACTCTACAGCTCAAGAAAGCCAGTTGGTTGGTAGATAGATACTAGTGTAGTTTGACTTGACAGACTTTGTTCAGATTTCTGGAGTCTTCTAATTTAGGGGTTATGCAACTAGCACTGTCGAAAATAGTTTCCATTTGAGGCACATTTGCTTTACAGGTCTCAGCAGTTGCTCTGCCCTTTTGCTGTTCAACAGCAAGGGGAAAGATGGTCTTTGGTTAATGCACTGAACCAGACCTCAAGAGGCCTGGGTTCAACTCCTGGTCCTGCCTCAGCCTTCCTGTGTGACATTGGGCAAGTCATTTAACCCCTCTGTGACTCAAGTTCCCATTTTCTAAAATGAGAATAGTGTTAACTCTCCCTCCCTTTGTCTGTTTAGATTCTAGTCTCTTAAGGACCAGAAGTATCTGTTACAGTGTGTTTGTACAGTGCCTACCACAATGGGGCTCTGATCTCAGTTGGAGCCTTTAGGCACTTCTGCAATACAAATAATAAAATATAAGATATACAAGCAATGTATTGAAACCCTTTATGGTATCTCATTTCCATTACAGAAAGAACTAAACTGCAATCACAAAGAGATACAGGGTCAAATATAAAGTAAATACTCCACACACCCTAATGGATTTGAGTAAATTTCTAGCCATCACTGCAATCTTCTCTTCTACTAGGGACTCCACTCAATACCAGATTATTTTAACTCAGACCATTACGTTAACTTTGAACTTTGCTATTATATCAAAGATACCCAGTTGCCAACCAAAACAACTCTTGAGTATGCCATGCTTTTGCTAATTATGTGTGTTTTTAAGTGAACCATTAGCATTCATAGGGCATATACAGGAAAATCTGTGGCAAACCCAATGTGAGGATTGATGGCTGTGTGTGTCTTTTTTCCTTTTTGTTTCAACAACATGCTGGGCTACCCAAGAAGCATGCGTTAAGTTAGCTGCGGCTCATGCATGCCAACTGCCATGACATAATCACTGTAATACTTTACAGTGGCTTACAAACTGACAACTAAGCATCATCTCCACCAGCACTACTACTTCATTACAGTGGATACTGCAAGGTGGGTGAGCTTCATGTGTGGCAGAAAGTACTGAAAGGAAACAGAGGGAAAGGGTGGGAGTTTGGGAATAACTTGAGAAACCAACTACAGAAGATATGACTGCATATCAGGGACAAAGCTTGAGACCCGAAGCAACCAACAAAGAATCTCGTATTGAAAATGTTCCCAACCCCAAGTTTGTAAACTGAATGGAACTAACCTGCTGCCTTTATTTTCACATACATTAGATCTTATTAAAATGTTCAGTATCAAAGAGATTTCCTCCAAAGAAGTTTCCACCTCAGCTGAATGTGACTTTCCTCATCACAAGCCATCACACTACCATCTTGTATGTCACTCAGGCCCATAACCTGAGTGTCCTCTTCAACTTGGACCTCTCTCTAGATTCTCACATCCAGGCTATTTCCAGGTCTTGCTGATTCTTTCTGCATAACATCTTTAAGATACAGTTTTCTTATCCAGCCACAGAGCCAAAACTTCTCCACATTATCATCTCATGTTTCCATGACTGAAACATCCTTTTCTCGGGCCTTGACTAATCCAATCTTTCCCCGATCACATCCATTCAGAATGCTGCTCCAAAGATCATTTTCCTAGCCCGTAACTTTCACGTCATCCTTCTCTTTGCATCAGTCCACTGGCTCTCCCTGCTCTCTATCGCATCAAACATAAGCAGTTTGTATTCACTTTTCAAGACCCTCTGTCCATCCCCACCCTACATATCATCCCTAATTTGTTATTAAAAGGTCAACACTCGCCTCTAACCAGCCCATGAGGCCAGCTTCCACTAGCTACTTGTTAAATTTTCTACCAAGCACCTTTGTGCTTCCTCCCACACTGCTCCTCATGCTTGGGAGGCTCTCCCCATGAACATCCACCAAGCTTCCTTGTTATTGACCATATTTAAGCAACATAAGCTTTCACCCCATGTGCATGGGAAATTATCAAAATCCATACAGCTGCTGTCACCTCCTTCTGCTTCAAATACCTCCTGTAGACTTACTTAGACATGATGCCTACATTACACTGCCATCTGACAATAGCTAGACAGGTGGGGCTAATGATTATTTAACATGTGCTCATTTTACTGTTCTCATCCTCCCCACCCTATTTGTCAGTTTCGCCTATTGCAACTTATCATAATCCTATACTTTGAGTTCTCAGAAGCAAGTTCTTCCACTGCATGCATGCAACAGCTAGCACTATGATCTTTCATTAGGGTCCCTGGGCACTGCGGTTAATACAAATAAATAGACTTATCTCTTGAGTTCCTCTTTAAACATAATAGGTTAAACATGTTTGCCCTTTGTTTTATTCAGAGATAAAGACATGGTGACTCTATACCTATGGGGTTTTAGAGTGACACATCACCTGAGTACGAGAGACCACAATCTCAGATGCAATGTTGGAATGAAGCAGATTGGCTGGAGAGTCAAAGCTCACAGCTCTGTTTTACCAGAGCCCTGCTATGTGGTTACATGTAAAGTCTGCTGCTGATTTTATCATCATCTTCAGCCAAAAATGGTTAAAAACAAATACTGTGTGTGTAATAAAAATAAAAATAGGCTAGAAAAAGTAACTGGAGTCTGTGTCCAGTTATTTTTCTTCCAACAAGTTAATAGCCCGTTACAGAAGTTCAAGCTCTTCTTCACCAATCAGAAGCCAAGACAATAAAATTGAAGCAGCATTGTCTAGTGCACAGGCACTCGGACTTTGAAGACCAGGTGCTGGCTTTTTTTGACACTATTTAGGCACCTAAAGACACAGATAATCACCTAGTCGAATTTTCAGAAATGCCTAGGCACCTAATTCCTGTTGAAGTTAGCGTGACCAGATAGCAAGTGTAAAAAATCGGGATCGGGGGGGGGGGTAATAGGTGCCTATATAAGAGAGAGCCCCCAAAATCGGGACTGTCCCTATAAAATTGTGCTCATCTGGTCACCCTAGTTGAAGTCTCCCTTCCACTATCCATGGGGGTTATGTTGCCAGTCTTTGGAGGGAGGGGCTCCTAGGGAAACCCACTCTTCCCTTCTCCTGCTCATTGAATAAACTCAACAACGGCCACTGCTATTCATCTTCTGGGTCAAAATTTCCAATCACATCAATTCAAAAGGTTCAACAGTTCATTTGTTTCTAATCAAAACATATTTAAAAAATTTCCCACATAACTGACACTTTTTTTTTAACCTCAGCTCTACTACAACCCCAAAAAAGGGATCACCCACAGAGAGTCCTTCCCAAGTTTTACACTGAGCCCTGGGGCAATTTGGGCCCTTATCCTGCAAAGAGGTGTGCACATAGAAATGAAAGCGCCCTGCACCCAGTGCAAAGCCCTGCTGAAGTCAACGGGGCTCTGTTTCCTGGCCCATTTATAAGCCATGAAAAAAAGACTGGGAAACAAAAGAGCCTACACTCCTTCAGATGTAGCAAAGGCTTCAGAAAGTAATTAGGGTATTTGTCTTTTGAACAACCAAGCTAATAGAAAATTGCACCTTTCCAAATGCTGTTTTTTGTGATAAAGGAATTGTGCTTCCTATAGGCAGTCAGAGATTTATCAGCATTTCACTTCACACACATCTGTAGCAATTACAACCTGCTTTATTCAGTACCTTGCTGAAATGGCTCTGTGGCTTGGCTAAGGCATAGTAAGATCCTATTAAATGTATCCTGGCTTGGAACTGAGCTCAGGGTGATACTGCAGTGGCCAGATACAGGGCTGTGAAACTCACACTATGGTAGGCAAAGGGAAGAATAAACTCAATCCAGGAAGGGTTATGGGGAATGCAAATGTAATATCTCAGTCCTTTTAGATCTTTACAATGTGGGGATAGGTAGGAAGCCCACTGACAGCAAAATACATTCCTTATGGCATAGCGTGCTTTGAAAACATCTATGTTCACTCTGTGCTTCTAAAATAGACTTACTGGTAAGGCAAAACTTTGCACAAAAATATTCATGTTTTATTTTCAAAACAATAGGTTCCCAAATATGCATTTCTAAATTTTGTAGCCCAGCAAATGAACAGGCGAATAGACATCTGCTATACCTTTTTTGTGGACAGAGAGAACTTTTCTTTGAACTCAATCTTCCTACAGCATACCTGGAAACGCTCATATCTAGTACTGTACCATGCATATAAAAAGAGAATATACCTGGAATACAAGAAGATAGGGGATCGGATGTGAAATTCTCATTCACGCCCAGCTTCAATGCTTGTTCATAGATTTAGTTAATAAAACTGATAGATATAGATAAATGATCAATTCCTATACAAATAAAGAGGCAAAGCAGCTGTGTCTTTTGCCCACGATCAATAGATCTTATATGCAACTCTCCCTCCA